ATGGTTCAGAGGAGGAGGCATCTGCCAGAGGGATCCTAGACTTTTTAAAGAACACTGACCTAAGGCCAAAGTCATAGTAGAAATGTTGTTTTGGTTCTGATGGTCTAAGGATGTGAGAGCCAAGGTTCACAGGAAGAGATATTAATCTTTTATTAAACCAAGTGATACTACTGGGAAACAAAAAAAAAAAAAAAAAAAAAAAAAAGAGCTCAGAGAGGGCTTGTGTGTCTAAAATTCATTCTTTTTTCCCCTTCCAACAATATCATATGTTCTATTAAAAGATATTACTTCTTCCTGCAAGCCTTGTCTCTCCCAAATCCAAACAATGCTCCAGAGTTGTGAGGACACAGAAACAGGGAGCATTTTTTGTTATTATGTTTAGCTCCATGTTGCTAGAAATAGAAGCATATTTTCAGAGCCCTTTGAAAATCCTGCATGTGTCTTTTTTTTTGACAAGCAGATGTCCTCCGAGTGATGAACTGTGACCAGGAGAACACTCAGGACAGACCTCTGGGAAAGCATGGAGCTAAATCCCCAAGAGGTTTCAAGCCCAGCCCAGTACTTGGGGCAGGATGCCAGAAGGGTAGGACATAGAAGATCTGGACAGAGAGATGTCTTAATGAGGTTTAATGCCTACATAAATCTTTCCTCTACTTGACATGTGTCTTCACTGCTGCTGTCCCACCTATATCAGGACATTACCTTGGAAGTTATTAAGGAATGTTGACTACAATTTAAGACACTGTTCAGTTCTAAAGATGATGAAATACCACCTTTTCCCTGGGCAGCTACCACATGATTTTGTTTTGGAATTGAATTATGCATTTTGGGGGATGAAAGGAAAATGATCTGGATTTTACTGGAGCACAGGTGAGCTCAGAGCCACAGAAGGGCTCTGGGAGCAACCAAACCCCAGTCTGTTGGGTGAGAGAGCAGCTGGGGCTCCTAAGCCCAGCCCCAGTGATGCCTCCAGCTCTAGACAACCCCCCCCAGACACCGTGACAGCCTCCAGCTCCCCAGGCAGCCCTGGGCAGTCACCATGTGCCTGACTTGCTGCAGTTTCCATGCCACACTCAGCTTGCCTTGAGGCACAATGTCTCTGACCTGCAGCGTCCCACCACCTGCTGTCACAGTCCTGAGTCATACCTAAAAAAATCACCTACTCACACTTTTTTTAAAAGAAAACAACAAGGAAAATGAAATCCGCCCAAATCTTTTCTCTCCAATATGGATATATTCCATCCTGCCTTCCCACAGAGACCCACATGAAAGATTGTACAGCACATTACACAACACATCACAGAAATGCTTCTTCAGCATCCCCGCCTTTACTCTTCACACAGAAGCTGGGATACTTCTCCCTGTCTCCCCAGTCCCTCCACTTTCCTCCGCTCTCTAATCAGATGCTGTTTCACCTCTCCCCACCACCTACACCTCCACAACCATCTTCTCTCCATCCTGTCTTGTTGAAAGAAGGTTTAAAGGCAACAGCTGACGGGATCCCTCTGTGATGCACAAGGAAAAGGACGCATCTGTCTTCAGGCAGAACATGGAGAGCTTTGCGGAGAGGGGAAACAAGCCTCTCTGCTGCTTTTGTTACACAAATATTTGCTTTCTGTATCCAAATGTGTAACAGGAAGTTAAGCAGTTCACCTTTGTTAAAGCACTTTTTCATCCCACAAATGCAGGAGACAGATGGTGTTCCTTCTTTGTTTTAAAAGATTAAAAATGGGAAATAAAGGAAATGGCTAGGAGCTAATCCTCAGCCTGAAACACACTCACATATCCATATGCCCTGTTATCCTTGCTCGTGGGGCCTGGGCAGGAGCAAACACAGGGACCCAGCGGACCAAAGTGAGTCTGTTTGCAGAGAGCTCCAGACCTGTCACTTTGCGTCAGCTGTGAGGTGGAATTCTTCACTGTGTTCCCAGAAAATTACAAATTACAGTATTCTCCCTGGGCTGCAGCTTGGACATACCAAGTAATATTTTCTAGAAACCACCTGAAGCAGAACTTTGTTCCAAGTCCCACTGGCAGAAATGGAAGGCTGTCGACAGCAGAGAGCTGCTGTGCACAAACACTGAGAATCAGACTTGGGAATTTCACCAGACAGGTTGTAGATGTGACCAGGGAATCACCAAAGAGTTTCAAAGTTCAACTTTCCAGCCACATCTCCACCTCCTATAGATGAGACTCAGGAGCAGTTTGGTTGTCACACTTGAGCTCATTTGCTCTCTCTCTGTTTCCATTCAAAAACCCTCACTTGGGGTGCCGTGGTGAATTTTATGATAGGACTGTGCACTCAAAAGGATTGTCTCAGGCGCCTTGAAGAGCCAGTTTTCATGCAAGGGATATCAGGAAATAGAGTTGTGAGGAAGACAGAGCACAAATGCACAACTGTCGTGAAGCCATATTGGTTTTCTCACCTACATTTTCAGGAGAAAGTTAATGCTTTTTCTTACCAGAGTTAAATTCAAGTCTGATACAGTCAGTTCACACAAGCCCCATGTGGCTTCATTAGTGTTACAAGCAGGTTTCTGTTCAAAGGGTTGACTACTCTTATTCATAGGGAACTTAGAAGTGCAGGTTGCCACATAGAAACCGAATAGATTTCCCAGTCCAGAGACAGCAAGGCTCACATCAGTTCTGGCAGAGAATGAATGCAGCGGTGCTGTGCAAAGGCAGAGGGAGAGGAGAGCACAGGTACACGAGATAGTGGTGGATGGGGAAGGACAGAGGCTCACATAACTGTGAGTGCACCAGAAGGGTGAATAATGAGATCAGCTCCATGTGCTCTCCTGGTAAACATGTCCCACAGGGTAGTGATTAGAGAATGAGACTGAGAGATGAACCTATCTGGGTTCTTCTCATATGCTGGGAGGAGTGTGGTTGGGCTGTAGCTGGAGGAGAGATGAAGGACACTTGGACTCTGGATTTCTGCTCTTTGCTGGGGGCAATATATGGCCTGGATGTGCTTCCTACCTCTGCCACCAAATCCTGCTTTGGCCTTGGGCAAGTCATGTAGACCCTCTTCCCCTCACACCACCAGTGTAAATACAGGCAATCAGAAACTTATTTTGCTAGGGCTCTTTTTTGCACTGTAACAGAGAAAACATCTCCATGCATATAGAGCATGGACTTACTGATCAAGAGTTTTAAAAATACCAAAAGTCAGTGAAAACAGAGAAAGGAAAATCAACTAAGAACAAAAGGCTGGTCTGAAGTTTAGTTCTTGCTCTGGTAAACAGGTGATAACTAGTTACTACTTTTATAATGCATGGCAATTCATGTTGGCAGATAAAAGTCCACTAAAAAGCCTTACAACACTGCACAAGATAGCATGGAGCAATCCTCAGCAAAGCATTTTGCACAGACAGGATGAGGTCTACAGGACACCAGCACAGAGAAGACAAAAAATCCCACAACAACAAAATGGCCTGTGGAGATCATCTCAATTCTCACTTTCTGGGGGTCCTCCCAGACTTCACATGTCAATAGCAGCAAATTCTCCCATTGCATAGAGAGCTCTCGGTGCTGCAGGAACACAAGCTCAGTTGGAATTGTCTCAAGTGGTGTAACGCTGACTGCAGTTGAGGTAGGTCTAATGTGGCTGAAGGACAGGAGCTAGGCAAGAACATGGATAATTGCAAGGGCTGCTTCTCATCCTCCCCTGGGCTCTTCTCTTCCCTACTTGCTCCTTCCTGAAGTTTCAGCAGTGATGGGACCATGGCCACCTCTCTTCCCTCATCACTGACCAGTAACTGCACTGAGACATTTTCCCAGCATGGGGTTTTGTGCTGCACAGTGAAGATTGGTTCCCTCACTGGTAATTAAACTTAGCGATAAACCAATATCCTGGGCCGGTAGAGGTGATATGTCTCAGCAGAAATCTGATCACGTTTTTCCTCCTTCCCAACACAGTACCTCCACTTGGCAACTGCCTATCACATAAAAAAACCATTCTGAATCAGATCAAGACTATAGGTCAACCCCTTCTCGGGTAGCTGATAGGAATCATCCTCAGAGCCAAACATCCATGTTGTAACCAGAAATAAACCAACCTTAGTTCAAACATCAGACTAGAAACAACTGCTCCTTAGCCTGAAAATCCCTCCCCTGCTGGTGGATGGCCCAGCGATAAATGCATACTCCAGCGTGCTTCAAACACTTGGCACATCACAGCTTCTCCTGTAGCTGAGGAGGGGTAAGAAACATGTTGTCCCCCCAGGGAGGCTGCCATCCCGGGCAGATAGGGCAGTGCAGACAGGTACAAAGGGAGTGAGCAAGACAAGGGGACAGTGCGAGCACAAATCACAGAAGAAAAGGCTGGAAAGACATTCCTGATTCATTGAGTCCGTCCCTGGAGACAAGTGCAGGATTAGCCTCTGCACTAAACCCAGGCATTTTTATCTAGTTTCTTTCTGAATTTATTTAATGACAGGCCCTCAGAAGCCTACCTCTGGCAAATTATTCTAGTCTCTAAATTATGACCCTGATGGAAAAAAGTGTTTTGAGGTCAAACCTAAATTGTCTATTATTTCCTCTTTCATATTTTATGCACTTATCAGTCAGTCTTTCAGTTGCCTTTTCTCTAGGTCCCTGTATTAAGTTTCCTTAATCTAACACCAGAGGTCACAGCCTGTGGTCTTTGTCATCTCTTTGGATTACCCTTAATTTATCAATGTCTTCAAAAAAAGAGAAAAAGTAGGAAGAAAGTAAGAATAGGATGACTTCAGAGCCATCCCAAAGCATGCGACTGTGTGCCGGGGTATCACAGATAGCTCTGTGTGTAGGCATCTGCATGGATGTCTGAACTACAAGCATGCTCAGGACTGAAAAGGAGTAAGTACAGTGATTCAGGGATGCCTGCTCAATGTCTGTGTGCATGTTTTGATGAGGGAATAACCGAGTGAGCCCAAGAGCTCCAAAAACTGATTTACTGTAACATTTCCTAGTCTCCCTTTGCTCTGATCATCAGACTGCTGCTGAAGCTGCCTTACCCTGTAGTAATCAGTGCTGTAGACATCTCTTGACATCCCAAAGTCTCCAATCTTCACCAGCAGGTTGGCTCCGACCAAGCAGTTCCTGGTGGCCAGGTCTCTATGGACAAAGTGCTGGGAGGCAAGGTACACCATTCCAGAGGCGATCTGGCTAGCGATGTGGAGCATCTGGGATAGCCCTAGCTCCCCTTTGGCTTGTCGAGGCTGCCCATCCACGAGGATCATAGCATCTGGGCCATGTGCCCTATAGGGAGGAAGAAGCAAAAAGCATAGAGTTGGGTCTCAAAAGTGACCAGGAGATAGGAATCCCACACGGTCGCTGTTCCTGCTGGGGTGAAAACTAGCCCCCAACTCTGCACTGTGAGGATGTACACACAGCTCCAGTGGAAGGAAAAAAAAAAAGAAAAGCTTAAAAGAACAGAAGGCTGGGGGAACATCTGGTGAGTGAGTAGGTGCTGTACATCCTTGTCCTATCCTTACTCTACTGTGAGGAACCTCTTATGGCCACAGATGGAGACAGACTGCCAGGACAGAGGTACCATTGGCTGGATGCAACATAGACATTCTTCTCTGGCAAGACCTATGCAAAACTAATGAGCCTCCAGATATTTGCATGTTTGTTCCAGTTAATGCTTACTCATTGGAAACTTTCCCAGAGGTAGAGATATCACCCCCTTTCTTCCACAGCTGTCATATTCTTGCTTTCTAGTCTCTTTATTAATCCCAAACACCATATCACCAACAACCACCCCCGATCGATATCAATACAGCCAGAGATCACAGAAAAGGTTTCAGAGCAACACCAGCAGCTTCATCCCTGGAAAATACCTTTTATACCCTAAGCTATCCCAGAGGTAACACAGGTACTGTGAACTGTGAAGGCACAAGCACAGGTGCAAAGGTTAGACCTGGATATCAGCAGATGCAGAGAGCATCCTGGGCAACAAAAGGAAATATTTTTCTGAACCAAGTGCATTGTAAATGCAGGACTTAAGGTCAGTCTCATTCCTGTCCTGTCCCCTTTTTAGTCCCCTTCCTCGCTGTGTACCAAGCCTGACTGTGCCATGCTCCCACTGTGATGTCTCTCCCTCCGGTAAAGCTCATCTTGTGGCAGCCTGTGTGAAGGTGGTATAACAAAAGCCCTCATATTTAGGGAAAAGCAAGAGATTTTGCTGTGACCTCAGAGGAAATGCTGTACATTTCACACTGCTCTTGAAATGATTCCTGGCATTTCACCCCTGTCATCAGCAGTAACCCCACAGAGAGACAGCAAGTTGAATTTACATATACAGAGCTTTTCCTCCTTCTTCACATGGGACTGAACAACCCACAACAAGATCCAAACTGTTTCTCTCCTTTGTCTCTGCTCCCTAACTACTCTCTTGGGCTTGAGGGTGCACCAAAGGGAGTAGCATCCAGGCATTTGGGGTTCAACCAATAGTTTTTCAAACACCCTCCTCTTCACCTACCTCCTGCTGCCCTACCACTGGCTCTGAAGGTCCCTTCATGGTAGAAAGGACAGCTGGAAGAGGAGAGGAGCTCAGAAACAAGTGCTCAGGAGCCAGGAGCGTTTTTTGAGAGCCACGAGTGGGTGATGCTGCAGCAAATGTGGGATGAGCTGGCTGGGAGCAGCACCGCGGGCAGCAGGGCTGGGGCTGCCAAAGGCATCTCAGAGGCTCATGGGCATGGAAGAACTTCTATGGGCAAGGGGGAGCTGCAGGAGGGTGTATGCAGAAATGACTGCTTGATGTCTTATTTAAACAGCCCACAGACAGGTTTACCCCAGGAAATTACCTGGTGGTGACAACAGATGTCAGCAGCATGTGAAGCTGAGCCAGGACTGAGAAGGTTAGTTAAAAACAGCAAAGCAGGACAAACAATAGCTTCTAAAACTGTGCTGGACAGTTTGTACCAGTCATGCCTTGCAGTTACACCATATTTAGCTGCAGCTGATACCTGTTGTCATCAAAGGTAAACATTCCTAGGTGAGAAGTGAAGGATATATCACTATCTCATTACTGCCACCTGTTTCAAATATAATAATGGCCCCCCAAATAGATGTTTGTGTTGGAAGGGAACAGGCGACATTTAAAAAATGGTCAGCCAACGCCTTTATTTCACTGGCTCTTTGTACATCCTATTATATAGGACACATCTCCGTATGTCCTATATACCACATACACTTCCCTCCCTCCATCCCACATGGCTATATTCCAGAAGAAAGAAATATCAACACACTTATGAGATTTACAAGAAGGATAGTAATACATTTAGTTGTGTCAGGAAGCCTACAGGGAACACGAGAAGGGTCTGCCCATCTTTTCCTGGGGAAAGGGGCTTAATTCAGCTTTAGAGAAAGGCCGTAAAATTGGGTGGATCCCCTGTTAAAAAACTCTTAGGAATTTTTTCCACTGTGGAGTGATGGAGGCTTTTGTCAACATGGGGAAGAAAATCACCCACTAACTTCCTCTGCTGAAATTTTTCTTTCTGTCCCAAGACAGTCCAACTGTTGGGCTTCTACATGGGAAGGGCTGACACAAAAACCTCAGAAGTTTGCAACTTTTCTAACAAAATCTACTGCCTGTGTGAGTTAACAGTAAATGGAAACAACTTACTATAGACTGCAAAGAAGGTCTGTAATGGTAATGTGCAAATATCCCTACTTCAGATTTGCTGCAGAAAACAAAAGCTGGAAAACGAGTGACAGGGAAAGAGAGGAAGCTACAGAGGTATTCGGTGAGCAGAGAGGGAGGGCAGCTGCTGCAGACCCCCGAGCAGCGGGTCTGCGTGCCAGGGAGCGCCCAGCCTTGCCACGCACACAGCCCGCGGCCAGTCTCCAGCCCCTCCGCACACCAGCTCTAGGGATGCCGTGCTGCCTGGAGAGCAATGCCTGTACTTCACAGCAGGATCTTTTCACTATCCCTCTCCTAATTAGCCAGGACACCATGATTACAGTCTCCCCCGGCGAGGGCAGCAGGGTAAGTTGTTGCACCACCAGCAATGCTCTTACACACAGGGGTCCTGGGAGGCGTGAAGAGCCATCCCAACACATGCCATCTCTGACCCAGCTGGTAGGTGTTGATCCTAGTTCTTCCCCTTGCCACACCAGATAATTTTACAGACCAGTAAAATTCTCTCTTTTCTGGGAAGCACACAGATGTCTAACAACACTTAGGGGAATTTATTTATTGTGCTTTTCTCTAGGAAACTGGGTCTAAAGTGAGCCTCTTCCATTTTACCGCTTTTCCAATTTCTGCAGTTAAGCTGGGAAACGTCCATCTGAGTGTCTCTTACAGACTGCCAGCACCCCTGTCCTCCAACGCCTGGGAGCAACCGTCTCCTGCTGTGGGTTGGGTCAATTATGCCACAATAAAAACTGCTGCTTGCTGAGGTATGTCCCGCACTCCTGCACCACCAACCCTCCCTGAGCCCCTTGCAGCCCCTGTCCCCTAGGGTTTCCCACCAGCACATAGCTGACCTGGCAAACAAATCCCAAGACTCTTTTTCCATACACCCCCTTAAGCATTTTAAGTTCCCGTTTGTGGGGTATAAGTTCCCTTGTCCCAAAAGCCATCTTCCTTTGGGACACAAGAGAATTTCACTGCCTATCACGCACCAACATGCAGAGAAGGGAGCTCGTAGCTGCTTGCTCCGTAGCTTCATGAGAATGAGAAGCTGGCAGCTAAATGCAGCTGGAAGATGAGAGGCTGCAATCCCACAAACCACACATCTGGAAAATTTATTTTCCTTTATAGAGGCCAAAGATAATACAACAATCTTCCTTCTCCAGTGACACCAGGACAGGCCCTGGCCTCCCAGGGCATGAGTGTTTCTCAGACTTGTCCCAAAGTAGGGTTGGGACATGCGGGTGACAGAGTCCATGGCTCCAGCATGGTATCAGCCTTAAGAGCACACTGTTGTGTGAAGCAATTCCACAAGGCATTGGCAATGGGCACAAGACATCGATCTGAGACAGCGAGAGAGCCTGTTTTGGACTATACTGTTTGGGAGGTCAGTTAGAGCAGCGAAGGAGGCTATGCCTCAGCTGCAGTGTCTGCCTCCTCTAAGGAGAACAAGGTTGCTGGTTCTGCCAGGAAAAAAATATGGGTCAATTTTCTGCTCTTCCTTGTGAAGCATTTCAAGAATGCAGTCTCTCATGCTCTTTTTTAGACTGCCTTCCTCCAGTCATGAGGCCAAGGCACTGTTCTTATCACTGCATCTCCAATCTGCGCTAAAACACCATGTCAGCCCAATGCATGGTTTCATGCCAGCAGGCAGAGTTCAAACTGCTGGGAGGTTGCTGAGCCCCTGAAAGACAGGGTACCACAAGAGGGTCCTACGGTAACCAAGCCCGCTCCCCCTTGAATGTGGGTCTGAGGAGCTCTGCAGAGTTAGTGTAACATCAGCCTTCACTCGTCCTACCTTGCCAAGGATGTCATCTATCCAGAGCCTGAGACAGAAACCAAGTTATAAAATCACATTCAATCTACCCACAACTATGCCAAAATGAGGAGGGACACCAATTCAGGGATGTTCTCAGCTCAACCGCTGCCATGTGAACACCCCAAGGGAACTGCAGACAGGTTGGCATTGCTTGGTAGAGGAAAGAAGAAACTTCTGGGGTCCTTCCCCACAGGCCTTCTGGTGTAGGTGATAGTTTAGAAATTAAAACCTCAGGGAAGGACCTGTGCTTCCCCGTCAGAAACTGACTGTGATGGTGGAAAAAATAATCACTGAGGGTATCCCAACCCCAGATCTAGACCTGCTGTGATCAAGCTTCTTGTTCTTGCTGCAATCACGTTCACATTTAGCAGTCAAAACAGGAAAATATCAAGGGTCCAATTTTCTAAATACTGGAAAATAAAACTACTAATTATTTCAAGAGGTAAGTACCACTCCACTTGCACGCAGGTTTCAGAGCATAATTTCTGTATCGTGGGAGAACAGCACCACAAACATCCTCCCAAAGTTGCTCCCTGCCCCTCACCACTGGTGGATTCAGGGCACACAAACGATCTGTCTCACACTGATGAGATGGTTGAATGATGATTGGGGGAGGTGGGGCTCCAGCAGTTTGCATCTCTCTAGAGGTGGGGAAGGCAATTACCACACTTCGTCATGCCTTGCCTAGCTTCTTGAGTAGTGTGGTGTCACAGCTGAGGATATTTTGTATCTCAGTCAGGATCTCTGTCTGATGAGGCTTAGGGGACAAGGACCAGGGATGGACCTCACAGGCAACACCTGAGGCCCCTCCAACATTTCTCATGTCTTGTTTGAATATATGAATGAGAACTGGAGATCAGCCAATGCCCAGGATACCAATCAGACAGGACTCAGCAAGTTTCTCAAAGGAATATTTTGGTTCTTGTGTTATTGAACTAGGAGCTAGGTGACATAGGGAGTGATGACTAGTGGCCTTCCTGCTTTGCTGGGTGTATGGGAGTGGAGGCTGCTGACAGCCACGGCTTCATGTCCTACCACCATGGGACCCAGAGGAATTGTAGTCATGCTTCCTGCAGCTTCAAACTTGCTGGGGTGGGAGAACAGAAGTCTGGTTTCCATAGCTCCATCGCTGGGACTGCCTAAGAGGAAATGTTGGGGTAGGGCTAATAAAGCACCAAATCTGGCGAGGACCATCTTCTCTTACAAGCTGTCCTTGGAACAGCCAGCCCTCATTACTCATCCCACTTGCATCCCTGCAGTAATGGTGTCACTGGTGCACCACAGACCTCTAACAAGCCACACTGAGGCTGTGGAGCAGCTGTACAGCATCTCCCATGCCCTCCTTCACACATACCTCAGGAATTTGTTCAGGTCACCATGCTTCATGTACTCAAAGACCATGATGAGCGGGTCGCCATCACCACACACGCCATAAAACTTGACGATGTGCTCGTGCTGTAGGTTGGTGAGCAGCTCTGCCTCCCTCTGGAAATCCTTGCGGGCTGCCAAGGTGGGGTCTTTCAGTGCCTGAAAGAAGGGACACAGAGACACACAGGGTGGGCTCAGGTGGGGGCAAATCCAGAACAAATGGGTGGCAGCACAGCAGAGAAGCTGATAAAGAAGGGAGGGAAGAGGAACTGCCACCAGCCCAGCTGCACTGGGAGGGCTGGTGGTAGGTGCTGGTGGCACCACCTCGGCATTTTGTTCATGTAGTTACCGGCCCAGCAGTGTCCCCAACTCATTTCCCAGGCAGCAACAAACATGCCTCAGAGGGTAACAGCTTCCAATTATTCCCAGCTTGGGCAGGGTTTGTACTGGTGACCTAGGGGTGAATGGCTTCATATCTCATTATTATTAAATTCCTGAGCCAGCCAGTCCTTGCTATCTGTCTTTTATTTTGAAATAGCTGACTACACTGCCTTTATTCAGAAGATGGATTTGCCTGGCTGTGCAGTTATTGTGCGGATTTTTCAAGCTGCCTCTGAAGAAGGACACTGTCAAGTCTTTTCTCATAATTTTTAAAATCATGTTTTTATTCCCTACTGTTTATAACAGCTTCCCTGGCAGATGGATGCTGAAATCAGTATCCTTATTGGGAATATCTCATCTTCCACGTTGCCATTAGAGGGTAGCTTGCAGGCTCCAGGCTGTGTGGACCAGCCCAACATCACAGGGTTGCTATGAAGCTGTTGCTTTGGGTGCAGCCGGTGACCAAGAAGGGTTCCCCAGGGTTGGAGTCTGGCTTGTCCATGCATTATTGTGCAGTTGCATTGGAGAGCTAGTTTGAAAGCAGCATGTTGTCATCCCAGGGTATCAAGGGAGGGCACTTGGTAAAAAAAGTTGAAGTCCAGAACATTTGACAAGACGGAATGGTCATGAGAATCAGCACAGACTTTGCAAACATTTAAGGAAATGAAGAGGCAATTCTGGTTTTGCATTGCTGAGTCTCATTTATATTTTCCCTTTCCTCTACATGCCAGGACTGTTTAGTACCAGTTCTGGCTGTAACCATGCAGCCTAACAGGAGTCAAAGAGGATTCAAGGCAACTTGTTCCAGCTGTCCCCAGAACCAATCTAGTGTACACTGATTCCCCATCGGTGGTGGGGAATACTAGGAAGATCTACCCTTACCTACACACAAATATACCTGCCCCCCTTTTCCTCATGCCTTGAATCTCCCCATGCGGACAAGAGATGTGGCATCATCAGGTTCAGGCTCCAATTTCTGTGCAAAAAGGGATATTAAGCTTCAGAAAGCTGTGCTTAGAGGAAGGGGCCGAGCACACTGCTGATGCACCTCTGGCTGGTGCATGGCACTGCTGGGTGCAATGCCACACACAGCAAAGTAGTCAGTCCCCCAGAGTAGGTGCTTTTCCTCTGGGAGCAGATTTGCTGCAAGGTTTTTACCCGTCTTAGGACACTGCCTCATCTCCTTCTTCTGCCCCAAAACTGCTAGTCACATGGCATAATCTTATTTTAATTCTGTGTCCTCTGGGATAGCTTGACTAGAGATATTTAGATGGATGCTAGTTACATGGTGCAGATGGCAAAGCATCCATCCTTATCTCAGGCACCCAATTACTTTTAGTCATTTAATATCTTCATAATGTTGATGCTACCCTATTTTTCCCCATGAAAACATTCCCCTCCCCCATCACTGTTTTCTCCCCCTTTTTCCTGTGGTTGCATGTAATATTTCAAGCTGCAGTGCATTTAGCTTTCCTCTCCTTCACACACAATCATTTCTACAAGGTGATAGGGCTATAAGTTTGTAAATATCACACACACACACACAAAAAAATAATAGAAAACCCACATTACTAAGATTGCACAGCCAAGTATTTAGAAAAGATGGAAAGAGGAGCTGGAAGTAGTAGAACAGGGAAAGAAGACCAGGACCAGAGGAAGAGAAGGGATGTCTCAGCAAAACCACTGAAATGCTTCTCCTAGGAAGGTTTGGGGTGGATTGTATTTGTGCCTCCATCACATGATTTCGGCATGACATCTGGCAAGTCACTCATCATCTGCAGGTTGCAGCCATTGTCATGAAGTGTCAGTTGTTCCAATAGTACCTGGGAAATCCCCTCTCACACGGCATCAGGGCCAGGTCTGCACAAGCACCGTGTGTTTATTGCTGCAGCAGGACTCAATGTGAGCTTGGTACCTGCTGCTCACGGGACTGGAAAGGCAGGTCAGTAAGTCCATTCTCTGCCTAAGTGGATACTTTCAGCTCAGTTTCCCTGCTTCTCTATCTGCCCTCTGCAAAATGGGGATGATACAAGGCTGTGAAAATGAGTGCACTCACATCGAGGGAGCTCTTGGACAGAGGAGTGATCATCACAATGGAGCAGTCCATAGAAAAATTAAAAACACATGTTCGGAGGACATACCCTGAATACCAGCCCCTCCAGCATTTCTAGTACCTGACTTTGTGGCCTCAACAGTCTTTGCTGAATACAAGTTTTGTGCTTTTCTTCGGAAGCTTTTAGAAGCAAGCTGACTAAAACAGGAAGTTTGTCCATGCCATCTCATCAAAACTCAGCTTATCTGTGGGGCTGCAACCTTTAGATCTGCTGAATTTAACTGAGTAACACAGCCACTTTCTTCAGCCCTGGGAGGGAGTCCCTGAGAGCAGAGCAGAAGCAGAGTCTGGGCTGTGGACTCAGCTGCCCTAACCATCATGTCCTGTTGCTGCCCTGAGCTGCAGTGACTGGGGAGGTAGTTCTCAGCCTCCCTCAGGAGCAAAAGATCTTGAGCAAATTCAGCCGAATTTCAACTTAATATGTAAAGCTTTTTTTCTTCTCCCTTTTTCTTTTTTTTCCCCCTTAAGACTTTTAATGTGACCCAAATTAGAGGGATTTTCTCCCTGTCCCCCTACCCAAGATCTGGCAAGAAGCCATATTTCAAGGCCATGTTCTGAAGCTGGATCTGTATGATCTCTCAGGATGAAAGGCATTCTGGAGTTGTAAGCTCATAGTAGCAATTAACAGAAATGAATTCAGTTGCTGTTTCTGCCTACATGCAAATAAAACTCAGAAGAGACTTGAGAGACATGATCACATAAGTGATGGCTGAAACCGACAGGAGGGTACCAGCCATATAATCAGGCTATTAATCATATGGGTAGGTGTGCTACCTCAGCTTTAACCAGTCTCAGAGGTGAAAGGTACAATCTTGCAGTTCAGGCCAGAGCATAAGAGGACAAATGAGCTAAAAAAAAGGCTTGAACTGCCAATGATTAAAACAATTCTCAAGTAACTGGATGCCTCCATCATCCTGGAGAGAGTGCTGGAACCTTTCTCCCCACAGAGCATCAGTTCAAATGCAGATCTTCTTCCAAGAAGTTAGAAGGCATCAATTAACTCCTGGGCATTAGACTATGTGTGTCTGCCACTTGAGAGGCAAGCCCATTTCTGCACTGAGTGGTCTCCTCTGCCCAGAGCCACACTGATGAGACACAGCTCATGTAAAGACCCTCACAAGGATACAAATACCACAGCACAAGCCAAGCTGAACTTGTGTTGGCTCAAAATCACCAGAACAGGCGCAATCTGTGGCTACGCAAGCAAGAGCTGAGTGGATCCAAGCTGAGTTGCTTTGCCCATCTTGCAGCAAATTGATCCCAGCAAATTGGTTAGTCGTGCTTAGGTTTTAAATTCTCATATTTTTGCTGAGGCCCTTTTTTGTTTCAGCTTCTGCGTGTTCCACAGAGAGATAAAATCTGGAAAGAGAAGGGCCCTGCTCCCTCGTGGAGGGGAGGTGGACTCCACTCTGCGCTGCTTCAGCTGCACGGGAGCTTACAGCTTCCAGACCAACTTCTCCTCCCCGTCTGTCTCCTGACCACGTCGGCAGGAAGAGAGGTTTTGGCATTGGTGAGAATGGACGACCTTGAAGTGAAACACTGAAACTTTGTGTGACTAAATGGATTTACCGCAATCTCCGGCATCAGATAAATCTCTGCCCCTGGCCCCCAGCCCTCCCCTGCTTCCCTTTCCCACGCAGGCTCAACCGGCCTCACTTCGCCGCCCAGCTCCTGCCCTACTCTCTGCCCTTTGCCCTTGGGATTTACCTTCACTGCCACCAGCATTTTGTCGTTGGTGGGGCTGAGGTTGTAACACTCGGCCAAGAACACCTTCCCAAAGGCACCTTCTCCCAGCTCCCTCTTCAAAACGATGTCTCTCCTCTTAATATGCTGGACATCTGTTGGAGGGAGGGGAGGAAGAGGGAGAGGGTTGAAGGAAGAATGAATCAGGGTTAATTCAGGGAATGGAAAACAACTAATTCAATTTTCTAGCAAGCTGCAAAGGATCTGAAATTGCTTTGCAAAATTATCTACAGGGATCTTTTTACCCACCCACAGAACACAGCCATCTCTGGGATGGAGCTAGTCTCATGCAAAACATCTACAAGGAAAGTAATTGAGGTTTATCACATTCTTACTACAACCTTGCAGCAAGCATGTCCTCAGGTAGAGGAACCTTTGGGGCAAAATCTCTTACAAAGACCTGAATCTCTTTGGAATGATCCTGGAAATAATTCATCTCCTATGAGGCATAGCAAAGGTCACATACTTCCAAAGCCAGGCCAGACGAGATTAGGTCCTGTTGAGTTTTACATTTTGATTGGGATCAGTTTAAACTTAAACTCAGGCTGGTTTTTGAGGTCAAACCTTGGCAAGTCAAAGTGTTCCCAAGGGGAGGAGGACCACCAACCCCAGTGCAACTTAGGGCACGAGCAGGAGCTGGTTGGAAGTGCCAAGCACTGCCCTGCCACAAGACCGTGACCCCACACCCACCTCCTATGCAACTGTTCCCTCAGATACAAGGTCATCCCAGGATAAAGTCACTGGCACAACAGACAAACTGAACCCATTAGTTTTAATGATCCTTCCTACTGATATTTAGGACAGCAAGAACTGACAGAGAATAGCAACCAAGGTTTCAGAAAGAATCAAAAGAGCAATATCTATTAATTTAACAAAGGTACAGAGGTCTATGAAGATTGGTCTGCTCAGCTAACAGTTGTTCATAATCTATCCCCACACTAGGCACCTACAAAGGTAGCTAAGAGACTAGCAGGTTATCAACAAATGCATCATGATTAAATGCCACTGGTTTCTGGGAGAGCTTGGGGGTCTCCATACTCTTTGGGGGACAACACTACAGCACAGCTACTTGCTGTCAAACCTTTAAGCACATTTCTGGCATCATAGCACCCAAATAGCTCCTCTAGCAATACAAAGAGGCTTTTTTTTTTTTAATGCCTGGTATGAACCGTGGAAGCAGCTAAAGATGCGCAGCCACCATAGCATTTTCTGGAGGCACCATATCCAAAACTTCATCTCTCTAAACTGCCCTTCACTGGAGCTTACCGCCTCCCTTGAGAATTGGGGTAGCACAGACCACCCCCAGCTTCAGCCTGATGATCAGGGCAGTGAAAGCTCCACACTCTTCTCCAGTTCTTGGTGAGCAGAAGCTGATGCATTAGAGGTCTCTAAGTGCCCTCTTTCCACTCCTACCCTAGGGCGCTCATAACTTGGCCCTGTATCTGTTTGCTCACAAACTGGACTGCTTTTGAGTCTTTTCCATCTCTTCCATGTGCCACAGGAGCTGTACAGGTACGCAGCCATTAGCTCAGATGCATTTCCCTCGGGGCACTGCAGATGCAGGAGGTGGAGGTGACTAACACCATATTTCAAACTGGTTGCAGGGAAGCACCACCACCAACGATCACAATCTGACACCAGCTCCTACCACCCAGGCGCCTGAGTAGGCACCCGCAACGACCTGAGGGAGAATACACCCCACAACAACATAGCTACCATTTAATGCACCAAAAAGCCAATGGATTGGAAGACTAATATCCTAGTGGCTTTCATACAATTAAGCTTTTTAATTAGGAGCTCACAGGCAGGTTTAAGGAGCTGCCGTTTCTGGCCCTTCTGCTTATTTGGGAAGATGGATGCTGCAAGATGGTATAAGCAATGGGCCTTGTAATGAACGATGCGTCTATAGAGAATTCCCGTTGACCTTTTCATTAATTGTTCAATAGACTGAAAAACTGTTAGCTACCAATATTAATAATATCGGTAACATTAAGGCACAGGATGGTAGGCACATCCAAAATTACTTTGTTTTCAAATGTGAAGTGACAGCCAGGGGTAACAAATCACATGTGGACTTTGCCTTCTCCACCTGGTTTAGTTGAGTGTTTAAGCAGTACCTTGAGAAATCTGAAATATTATGTGTTGAAATGTTAAGTGATGCACTTGGGTGAGGAAAGTCCTAATCTAAGAAAAGCTCAGATGACACCAATTTACTTAATAGAGTAGAGGAAAAGGGTTTTTTCCTCTTTGTCTTGGCAGGCATTTCTAGAGCACTCATCACTACAGTACCTGGGATTTACTGCAATGACAAACCATGTATTTGCATTCTTGGTCTCCTGAATAGCAGCAGTCAAGAAAGCTATGGGGAAATGATCTTGTATTAAAAGGAGCCCAAAAACACTTTAAAGACCTCAGAATTACAACAGAAATGTAGCAAATGCAATCCAGTTGCCCCACTTGGTGTGAGATATAGTTAAAAAGGAAACTGTCTCAGAATAACCAACAACGCTATTTGAGATTATTTACACTTCTGATGAGTAAGTGGTAACACCATGAGAACTGAAGCAAACCTCTCTTTCTGAACTCCCCAGGGTCTTGCCCAAAATTTGCAGCTCCTGATTTTAACTCCCAGTAACATCTTAATAAATGATCAGATGTTTCTGAGAACCAGCATCCAGATTGTGTAATTATGTCTACATTATTTAAATAATATACCATCTGTCTTCAAGACCAGATTTTGCAGCAAGTTGTTAGGGTCACCTGAGAAGCTTCAGGGAAAATTTATATGAAGAATTAAAGGAACTATTGTGGCACACAAAGTTGAACTGGGGAAGGAGAAATCCTTTTGAGGTAGTGGACTCACGTAGCATTGCTGGATTTAAAATAAACTTAGATGGTTATAAAAAAAGGGTTCATGAAGTTAAGCAGTTTGACAGCAACTAGACAATCTTAATGTAGAGTCAGAAAAGCACTTTTGCTGATCACAAATTCTCTCAACCTTGAATGGCCATAAATTTTGTTTCATAGTATTTTAGGCACAAATGGAATAATAAGTGTGTTATAATAAATTGCTTTTTCACATGCTATAGGCCTAAAATACTGAAGTTTACATCAAATTCTTCCATTCACAGTGAGATCAGCAGTATGATTAATTCTACATTACTATTAAATATGGGCTTTAAACATAAAGCAAAGACAAACTGCCCTGGCACTGTGCAAATGGCTGTGTTATTGTGCTAACCTTGCATCTCTTTTCTTGTCTGTCCTGGCTGTAACTCATAAGGAAGGCCGAGTAGCCATGAAAGATGCTGTGCTGCAAGGGCACCTGGGAGGTTCATCTACATAAATCTGTTTACCTCCTCCTGGAGAACGCTGAGCCCTGTCTGATAAACAGCTGGTGTTTATTTGTTTTAGGCAGGCAGTGGTATGCTAATCTGTCTCGGCTGTGTTGCAGTCAGCTCTGCCGACAAGGTGTATGCAAACTGTCTTTCCATAAGTACCACTCTCTTTGTTTTTTTCTCCCCCCTGTACCATTAACTTATAAAAACAAGCCAACAAGACAATTCAAAAGAAGAACCTATGCAGGAGCCACAGCAAGACCTGACAGGAAAATAAGCAGACTTGACAGCATGATGGGAACTCATTCAAGGCTGTGCTGTATCTACAGGAAGGATGTGAGCACACAACACTGAAGTAATTCCAGTTTTAAATGAAACCTCTTGCAGCCCTTGTTTTGGGATTACTACATTGCTGCATGACACAGAAGGAGAGTTGGGCAGATCACTCACTTACTTTTTTGTCCATCAAGATTTAACACACAGAGAACCTGTTTCAAGCTCTTGCCTTCACTGTTGCTCTGAATAACACATGAACCACAGCAGAAAACACGCAATCTACAGCTGGTTGGAAATGCCCCATGACTTCAGCTCGGTGATGGTCACAACAGTGGGTAAACTAGAAGATTAACAAGAGGGTAAGTATGGGACACTGCACTCACCTTTACAAACTGCCTCCAAGAGCAGAAAGCTTTCCTTTTCTCTGCCAGAACCAAGGCAGAAGGGTTGCAGCTTTGGATCCTCAATGGGATCTTACCTAACCTCCTCTGAACCTTTTGCAGGATTGCTGACTTGTTCTGTGCTTAAAGTGCACTCAATCAGAAAAGTGGCTGTCCAAAACCAGCAACTTCTTCCTCCCCGTATTCACTCCCATGTGTCCCTTAGTCATGTCTGCTCCCCTCCTCGACACAAACATATTCTAGTTTGCTAACCCTGCAAACCCAGTACAGCCATGGGATATAGGGGAAGAAAAAGAGGGAACAAGATTAATTCTGCTTTTCTCATACATCAATCTACCGTGTCCTGATGGGTCACTTCTGCACTGGCCCCTGGGATAGCGCCTGGAAAAGCCAGAATTTTTTTGCTTAAATCACTGGTTTAATGACTCTTCACCCAACTTTTAAACTCATATTGCAGAATCTCTCCTGCTGTGACAAGGTCAAGGCAAAAAGACCCTGACTCAACCTCCAAATCCCAGGTAGAGCATATAGAGCTGGTAGACTCTGTGCAACAAAAACACCCTTTTTCTAATAACCACCACATTTCAATCACATGAGCAGAAATCAGGAAATTGCATGGTACATTTCATTGAATCTAATTTTCCAATTATTGTCTCATTTCCAAATCAGTCCTGGGGGTCAGATGAAGAAGAGATGGATTTGGTGACACTGCAAATTCTGCATTTCAGATTCCCATCACAGTCAGTACCCTTAAAACCATGGTTTGATAATACTCTTGAAACCTGGATGCACATGATTGTATTTGGTCACAGATGACTACAGTGGGAGGTAAATGGACAAATCAAACTCCAAGCATAGTAAACCACGAGCAGTACGAGTATTTAAGTTACAGAAAAATGCAAAACTACTTCTTATGCTGGATCATTTACACCAGGTCTGAAATGAATTCCTCACATCTCCTTCTTTCAAACTCCTGAACAGTGGTCTGTCTGGTTGCTGTATTTCTGGTGGGTTTCCTGTCCTTTGACTCTTAATTCATGAACATGTAGCTCACTGGGGAAACAGAGTGAAATTATAGAA